ACCTTTCCCGACGCGTCACAAATTTGCACCCGGCTAATACTACCGAGAAGGCATCAAATCGCGCCAAGCTAGTTCGAGTGAATTCTTGCTTGCGTCGGCCAAGCCCTGGCTCTTGTAAGTTTAGTACAAGTTCGAGTTGAGCAAAAGATGTTCAACTTCAAAAGAAGTTCGACGCCGACTATAACTTCCACGCCGGGGATTCCGCACGAAAAAATCCGTAGTACCTTCTCGATAAGGCTTTCTTCTAACTTGAGAGATATCACCGTTTGGCCAAGCTGATCAGCAGGATTAATTGCGGAATAACTGCGTGACGCGTGACGCGTCACAGTCGCGTGTGGTCACGGTCAAATTCTGCAGACGCCACCACCGTTGTGTACGTAAACTCTGCTCTGCTTGTCTTTCCACCCGACGCACTCTAAAACAAAACAACTCCCATGGTCAACGAATTTGCGAAGTCTGGTGCGCAGACCATCGCTTCAGAGGTCATCGAAATCGATTCAGATGGAGAGGAGGACGCGGGAGGAGTATCAGATGGCAGGGCTGAGAATTCAGATTTGATTTCGGTCCCTGTAGAGTCCACTATGAATAGTTCCAAGTACGCGGAAGAGCGCGCCGCTCGTTTTGAGAACATCAAGGTTAGTTTTCTGCAACCCCCGTTCAATTCGCCGCCCAATCACAGATGAAAATAGAAAGATCTGGAGGAACTCTTCAATTCCGGGCTCAAGTTCGAGGGCACATTCGCCTGCTTCGAACGATATTCCGCGAACAGCGCACCAAATCCGTTTCTTCGGATTCATGGGTTGGGCGCCATCGGGATTCCTCTAAATGCCCGGGAGGCCATTGTGATCCTATCTTCGGAGACAAACCTGACTACGAAGTCGTCGAAGCACACATGGGGACTGCCTTCAACGCAGGTTCGTCCGCTGCGACTGTATCATCAGTTCCAATTCATGTTCCCCTCAGATTCATGTCGACAATCCAGAATGGGATGTATGGATTCAAGAGAAGGCCGGACCGACTGTTTTCAAAGTCCTCGCAGGCAAAGCGTCCGTGCCACCGACGTATAAGTTTCGGAAATTGATTCTTCAGGAACCCGGATCTCAGTAAGCTATTGTTTATGTTCAAGGTTTCAGTCATGACCATGTTCTGCATTTAAAGATTTACGGGTTTTGAGGAAAGAGACTCGGAGTGCGCGTTCAATTTTCGGAATCTTTTTCGTTCTCTAAACCATGAAGCAGAACCGAGAAATCCGAGGATAGAATTGGCACACTTATCATCCTTCTTCCGTCTAGCTTCGACGGAGCTCAGCTGCTACTTCGTCATGCCGACGACAGCCTCTCGGTGGACCTATCACATCAAAGTGGACTTTCGACGTCCGTTATAGCAGCTTATTCTGGCATCGCAAGCGAACTCGCACCTATATCGTCCGGATATCGTCTCTCCCTGGCGTATGACATCCTGCAGCCTAACACCCACCTGGGTTCCAAAAGATCGGGTCTTCCGGACGTGCAAGCCATAAGTAAAAGGCTGGGACAGATTTTGACTTCTTGGATGGAGGGTGCCGACACCGAGTCCGGGACGTTGCATTGCTTGCTAAAGGGAAAGTATGAAAGAGGACCGAGCTTTGGACGCCGATCTCTTACTGGATCTGACACGTATTTGATTACCCATCTCAACCCTCTCGCTAGCGAACTCGGATTCCACCTTCATTTCGCACATGTTGAGCTGGTGATTACAGAGTCATCCAGTATCGAAGAAATCTATCATTACGATGGTTATGGGGAAAATCCTTACGACGAGCTCGGTCAAGACGATTTCCATTTCAATATGGAGGACGAAGAAGGGGAACTATCTGTCATTCAGGTTGTCGACGCAGAGGGCATGCCGCTTATAGCCACTGGGGTCATTTTCTCGACGGCTGATTTAATCAACGGTTCTATGACGGAACATGAGCCGGACGTCAGCGACTTCGAAAAAGACGATGACACGGTACGCTTGACTTCATCGCCATCTTCAGAAGTTTGACCATATATCCCAAGACTGCGAGTCTCACAAATAGTAGGCCTGCTCGCTCTCTATCATCCGAGTCGTTTATCATTCGCCTCGCAGCTTACCGACGAACTGTCCTCTTGATCTCCAAAAGGGATATGAAGTTCTCCCCAGATATCAATCACATTTACGACTACGCTTCACTCACTCTCCGCAATTCTCATTCCCTAACTCCCAGCGACAAAGAGATGATATTAATTGACAGTCTGCTTCACCTGTCGGAGACCTGTAGCACTGAACAGTTGCGCACGGTTGCTCATCTTCTTACGGAGCATGCCGACCGTTGGAACGATCTACCTCTCCTGTTGAGAACGCTCAAAGCTTGTCGTGTGGATCAGAGGATCGACCTGCTGGGCGTTGAAGCCTTGATCTCCATGTACCAAGCATTCGGATGGGATGCTCTCAAAGACTTGTGAGTCGGTCGTTCTTTTCTCCTCCCTCCCTCCACTGGCTGATGGCTTCGGGTTTAAGCTACAGTGATGCGTTGAAGAAAGACGAGACCAATCTGGCCCGTCAAGCACTCATAGAAAAATTACTGGAAATGGCCCGAGAAGAAGGCACCACGGAAATAATTGCATGGTGCGAAACCCAGCAAGAACAGCTCCTCCGAAGTCTTTGTGCATTCGACGTGAACCAGATAGGATGGCTAGTTGAACTCGCGATGACGCGCGGTGGCGAGTTCCTGAGAGACGTGTAAGCCGGTCCCTGGTTGAAATATTAACCTACTAAAACTCTGCGTAGCATATTTCCCCAGCTCGAAGCCCAGAAGCTCGAGAAAACCTTGTGGATCGCGCTGATGAGACGGCTCCAAGATATATCTACCTGGTCGCCAGAGCTGGTAGGAACGTTGACGTCGTTCTGCGTCGTCCAGGCCGTTGAAGCGCTTCCTGCGTTTCCGACCGTGACCAACTCCAGGGTGTTGGAGCCTGATTCTGAATCTATCATGGAGGTCATCCAAGTTTGTGTTGAAACCGGAAACAACCATCTCTGCGATACGATCTCGGGCCGAATGCGTGGGACGGCGAGTGCCGGAACTTTCCCCTCCCGATTCCCACCTTGGATATTTTATTCAAGACTCGCAGTATCATTGGATGTATATCTTCAGGCCAGAGATACACCCGACGCTGTCAGGCCCTTCTTCTCTGACGCTGTGGACTCCATGCTGAGTGCAGGCTCGGACGCAAAACACGAATGTTCCATGACACCTCCGATTCTCAACACCATTAACATGGCGATCAGAAGGGCAGGAGGCATATTTTTCTTGAAGGAAAGGTAACATGTGTCTTCTTGGAGGGTGTAGACTGATATCTGACATGAAACTCAGGCTGCAGGAAGATTATTGGAAGGCTCGCACCTCCGCAGACTTGCAGGCATTGGTCCGTTCCATAAGAGCAGGTTTCGCGCCGCCTCCAGGAGATACTATGGGGGCGTCGGAACTTCTAAATGTAACGTCGGTGCTCGTCGACGCTGCCATCCATGCGTTCGATCTAGCGACGCTAATTCCCCGGAAACCGACACTTTCATACAGCGCTATACTCCCCGATGTTCTAAATATGTTCAGATTCTGCTTTCAAGTCGGCATTCCAAGCAAATGCCAAGATTTATTGGTGAAGCTACTTGAACCTCCAGCTGGATTTACGATCCCACAGAACGTGGACAGAATTTTGGTCCCGCTGATTCCTGCTCTAAAAACATTCCTCGCAACGGTACACCTCGATTACCGGACGGATCCATTCAAGACGTTCTGCGTGGCGGTCATAAAAGCCTACGCGAACACGGTGATGGGTCAAAAACCTCACGAATTGGTGTCCATCGCAGAACTTGAGGGCGTCGGGTGCCGTACCTGTTCGGAATGCGCGGCTTTGAAGACATTTTTCCTGGGAGACGAGTCGTCGATCGATTTCTCCCGCCCGCAGGCCAAGCGGTCACACCTCGAGTATCACCTTGCCGCAACAACGCCATGGGGTGTTACTTGGGAAACCCACAAGCTACGGAGTCCACACACTCTTAGAGTACGTGTTTCTCTTGCGTTTATTGTTACTATGCAACTCATTCTGGCTACCCGCAGATCACGAAGCCCCCGCGTATGACTGCGGTTAATCTCACCTTGAGCACTCAGAAGGGAATGACGCTGCTTGCGGAATTGGGTGATGGTGCTACGCAGCGGCTGATTTTAGGGGCAGACCAGGACTGGATCTTGGCCAAAATAGCACCCCCGAAACAGTCATCTACGAGTCAAAAACGGTCTGCTGGAAGTACTCAGCCGATGGCAGGACAAGTCAGAAAGAAAGCTCGTACATCTTGAATTACTCATTATAAGTAGTACGAGTCGTCTTTGGGATTCAACTCAAATTCACCAGTGTTGCCGATCTTGTGTTGGTTTTATCTCGTGAGATATCACTCTTTCCTGTTAGGCCTTAGGTTACAAGCTCATGAGGAGCTCTACTGTAGGTACCTTACATTATTCCTGATGTTCCGGGCAAGTTTCCTGCACGACCTCGGGGTTGTGCTGGATCGCTAATCTCCAACCTCAATCCTGCACAATGGTATTCCAAATTCTCTTTCTGAATCCTTCAGCATTCTCTGTTCGTCAGCTTCCAAGCTCTGGGTGATGTCCGGCTTCTACCGTGATCCCATCAATTCCTCGATTCGATGTGAATTCCTCTCCGAGTCTTCTGGGTCCTAGACTGCTTCCCTGGAATTGAAACGTCGGCAGTTCTTAGGGTGCTCCAAAGACTCTGGAGCATAATTTAATCTCGATCCTTGTCCATTTTGATTCGTTTAGCGACCGGCCAGTACTTTGTTTGATGGTCTCTTCTTCGTCTATAGCTCTGACACTTCTCTGTCTCTCTCCTGGGCTGTTCGAGTCAATTCCACAAAAGATACATGGGTGAAAACAAAATTAGGATGAAGGGCGACGAGTTTGAAGCGTTTTAAACGCAAAAAGCATTGGGCCTAACCGGGAATTGAACCCGGGACCTCCTCGATATTAGATCACGTGATGAGAATCACCCGATCAACCCTAACAAGGAATCATACTACTAGACCATCAGGCCGATGGAAAGGTTATAGTAACTTTGTGCTACATCCCGCCCAGCAGCACTTTTCGCAGCTTTCAACAAATGTATTTAATTGGGGGAGCTTGCGACCCCAATCCTATACATGAAAGCACGACGAGCACAGCCCTTGACAGAAAGTCATGTGGAAATTCACATGATGTTGTCGAGATGTTGCTGCCGGCTGTCGAGATGTTGACGCCGGGTCCCACGGCTCGGAATTCGCCGTGCGCGGGCGAACCCCCGAACTCGGAATCCGCCGTGTCTGCGCGGAACTGAGAATCCACGGGGTTTGGGGCGAAGCCCCAACAAGCTGTGGACCCGCCGTAGGAACGGACCGAGCGCAGCGAGCGTCCGTGCCGAAGGCAGGGTCCTAAAGCTTGTTCTCCCGACTAAGCCCCAAATCCGGATGGCTGTGCAATGCACGACTGATTGTTGTTCGTGTTTGGTTCTTGTCCCGTGATCACCGCTTAAATGAGAGAATAAATTTAAACTGCCCACCGTTGGAGTTGAACTTGACGTCGACGAAGACTATCAAAGATGAAAGAATGCAATAGAACTACCCACCGTCCGAGTTGAACTTGTGCACGGCATCGTGTCTGGCTGGCGTCGGAGATTGATGGATTACAGTACCTATTAATAATAGGCTATTATAGTACCAAACCTGATTCGACAGACCACTGATCAGCGGATCTTGTCCTCTTTTCACTACGCTTCCGGATGTTCATCGTCCAGTATTGGGCTTTCCTTTGCTATTCTGGTTCCTACCCTATGTGGGTCTATCTGGTAGCAGCAACCTTTGTTTTTTTCAGGAGCTATCCGGGTCTATCTACTTAGAGGCAACAATATTTTTTGTTTTCTTTTTAGGTACTGAGCCTCAATATATGACTGTGACTGCTCTGGAAAATACATTCTCAGCACTTGTGAGATACCTGTTAGTTTGTGCTTAGGTCATGGTGGAAGAGCCAAAACTTGGCCAGGCAGCCTATTGTGCTTGTCGAGCCCGTCTTACTGCATGTAATGTAGTAACGGGTCAAATTTAAATGAATGTCAAATATCTTCACATCCAGGGTAGTTACAAGAAGTCTGAGCAGACATTCTACTTCATAAACAAGTCTTTCAATGGATTATCAAGAAAGTCTGCCGGTATTTACATGAGTGGTGGTACCATGAATAAATTGTGTCCGAAACCACCAATTCTGGGGTACCGGGTCAACCATCTGTTGACACATTAAAACATGGATTCCTGAACTTCAGAGCCACCCAGAGTCTTTGTTCACTACTGCAATAAAATACCAGAGCATTCACAAGCATCTTCAGCAGCGGTTGTCGAGGAAAGAGGGAGAAGAGATCTGATGACCGCCCAAAATGGTAATTTGGCAAGAAACCATTCCATTTCTCCCTCAGAACTTGCTCTATGATCCCCAAAATCTGGTTCTGAAAGCAATAGATACTACCCAGAATAATGCTCGACTCAGATTGTCTAGAAATGTTCCCATTCGGGTGAGATATTTGTTTGACCCGTTACCCCGTATGACCCATTAGTCCATCATATGCAGTAGAGGACAACAGATCCGTACTGATGTTGCCCAGGCAGCTGCACATATATATCTTCCTACTGTCGAAGAAATTCAAAATGCGAAATGGGATGAGATCTTTCCTCGGACTCTGGGAGGAGAACGTAAGTTTTCTCTCATTTCGAGTGTAATCTGGTTGATGTTCAAATAAGCTCGGCTTACCCCGGCATTGCGTTTCGAACTGCATTCCCATGGAGCCGATTGAAGAGGCCAAATGTCATGGAGCCAACGAGAATGCTGGAAGAAAACTCTGTACGTAGGGATTAGATTGGTTTACATTAGATAGGTATGGTACGGATCTTAGTCAGTATGTGTTCGAAGACTAGTAGTACGAAGTGCCCAAAGATTGAGACTGAGATTCGTGCAAGCTCCGCCATTCTGTAGCCGGGTCACCGGCATACAAAACATATTGCATTACTCCAGAGTCGTGACCGTCGTGGTCTTCGCCGCACCCGTCCGGTAGATTATTTGAATCCAATACCTCCTCCACTCGGGAGCGGGAGTGAACTCCCAAAGTCCCCACGTTTCCACCTCTCCAACACCTGCGCATGATGAGCATTTCCTTGTGTTTCTGCATTCACTTGCTCCTCCGTGCGCTCGTCAACGTCGAACTGTGTCGTAGCTGCCAGTTCCGTCATGCATATCTTCACCATAGTGTTGATTATTTTCCTCTTCAGCCTGAGAGTCGTCGTATGTACTTTGACTCCGACTCCGAGGATTAGGCTCAGTCATAGTCGTACTCGCTCTCAGCTCCGTCGGGCCGCAGGAGTCTCCCTCGTTCTGTCGCGCATGTTCAGCGTCGTCGCGCATGCTCGGAGGGTCGAGGGGTTCGTCCACAATCCCGGGTGCCGTAGCTGGTTGGGTTGAGAAGGTAGGCGACGGCGAGGATATACACTGATCGGGTTCTGGCAAGTCATCATCTTCACCTCCACTTCCACTATTTGTATCGTCCACCGCTCCAGACTCGCTTTTGGATTCGGTTCTACCTCTTCTCTGTCCCCGATTTGTCTTGGACTTCAGGCGATCCTGGACATCGGGCCCTCCTACTTCAGCAGCGGTGCGCTTTGGGTTGTCGTTGTGGGTAAGGTGGTACCGGTAGCACTCCGGGCATTCTGACGCTGGAAAGCCCAAGAATAGACGCGAGCTTCATGCGCCGACCAGACGCCTCCGGAATCTCAGTTTCTTGTGCCTCCTTCGTTGTGCGCCGAGCCATGGAGGACAAATGAAGGCATAACAGCACTGCCACAGAAGCGTCGTGCGATTGTACTGTTACTGCAAGTTGGAATCTGGAGAAGAACTCGAGCACACCCCTTGACCTCTTCCAGCGAATATACATTTCTTCAACACCTGCCCCCGTGTACTTGGCTGATTAGTGAAGCATGAAGTATGTCCACATTCCCTGATGGCCGTCCAAGTACTATTCATCCAACCTCCTTCAGAGTTGCCGCAATTCAAGCTGAACCCGCCTGGTGGGACCTCAAAGCAGGTGTCGCAAAGACGATCTCACTTCTCAAAGAGGCCGCGTCCAATGGTGCCGAGCTCGTCGGATTCCCCGAGTCGTTCATTCCAGGCTACCCGATGTCTATCTGGGCGCAGCCCTTCAATCCCATCTTCCTCGCGAAGTTCCAACAGAACTGCCTGTCCGTTCAATCAAACGAATTCAAGGAGATCCGAGATGCTGCGATGGAAGCCGGGGTCTGGTAAATGCGACCATCCCACGGCAGTAAGAGTCATGTGCTAAATATAGCCTTAGGGTCGTTCTCGGATTCACTGAGCTAGACGGGGCAAGCATGTACGCATCTCAGGCTATCATAAACTCGGAGGGGGCCGTGGTTTTGCATCGCCGCAAGCTCAAAGTGCGTCGAAACTGTGTGCTATTAGTACCAAGGCTGATCTGCTGTATATCAGGCCACAGGACAGGAGCGTACGATTTGGGGGGATGCTCCAGGTCTGTCGCCCCATTTTCTCGTTCATCGGTTATAAAACCCGCCATTCGATGCAGCCGACTCGCTCCAAAGCGCTGTCAAAGGACCAGGTGGAGCTATAATTGGTGGTCTAATGTGCTGGTATGGGCCGGATAGACAATGCATTCGAGACTATTGACCCAAGTGCTAGGGAGCACCTTCAGCCGTTATTGAGATTTCATCACTATAGCTTGGGAGTTCAAGTTCATGTTTCCAGTTGGCCATACTGCGATTCTATTGCCAATGGCGCACCGCCTCAGTTCTCTTCAGACGCGCAAAGTCTTCAAGCTAAATTTGCAGCGTTGGAGGGCCAAATGTTCGTGATTTCGAGCACTCAGATAATCAGCAGCAAGAATGCGGAGCTTTGTGGGTGTGTGTCGTCTCTCTCAGACAGCGGAGTAAGCACTAAACATATATATGACCAGCGTAAAAGGCGTACAGAATTGGGAAATGCTTGTAAGTTTCCCCTTATTCATTTACTTATCGATTAAGCATTGGCTAGTTTGGAGGTGGCTTCGCAGCGATATACGGCCCGGATGGCACTCAAATCACGCCACCAACGAAGCCAGACGAAGAGATCATTCTCTACGCTGACATCGATCTGGACGCTATAAAGATGGCGAAGCTCACCGCGGACCCCGTCGGTCATTAGTGGGTTTTTATCACTTCTGCTGCCGATAACGGTGCTGACTCTTATAGTTCTCGGCCTGACCTCTTGTCCCTCCATGTAAACACTCGTCCCACCCCGCTTGTGTCCTATGATGGACCTGAGGAACGGGACCACACCCTTCTCAATCGCATTGTGTAATAATTCTGGATTGAATCGTCTATGATGTTTCAATATGGTTGTAGTATTTTACGAATTTGACATGCGCATTTCAAGGGATCCAGATCACCCAGTAGTAACAATTTGCCATTTTAGGTCGAGAGCGGTTGTTTGCGGTCGTTGTTTTCCTGAAGCAAAGGCTAGCTTTACGACTACATTTAAAGATAAATCAATCGCGACCAAATCTTGTTCGAGGTCTGGGATCTATAATAGCTTACCCAAAAGGCTACCGTCTGTACGAGTTATACACATTAAATTTGGTAGTACAGTGTCATCCGGCAAAATAAGTAAAAAATGTTCCAGTTCCACGTTCGTTCGTTCCACTTCCACAACAAAAAAGAAATCCAGCGAGTATTATGGGCATCGCAATCGCAATCCGCAGTGCGGTACGCCAGGAGGAACTCAGAACCGGAACAGGCCCTTTTTCTTCTTCTTCTCCTCCTGCGCGGACGGCGTCATCGAGACGTTCGACGCGAACGACTCGGCGGGCGACGTGCGCGCGGCCGGCCGACGTTCTTGGCGCGGCGGCGCGAGCGCGGCTGCGGGTGCAGGCCGCGCGGGCGGCGGCGCATCTCTAGTGAAGTACCGGTCGTCGTAGAACTCCTGGAACGACCGCCCGCCGCGACTCTCCTT